AGCTCTTAGCTTTTGTCTTTGCAGCGAGAATGAGTCTGCTGCAGGAAAGACATTTAATTGTCCCATTTACCAGCTCCAGTTTACAAGATCACGTCGACAGGGATCACGGCCTCTTTGTAACGGAGCAACTGACAGCCGAATGAACATCACAGCGCTGCTTCTCGGGAAAATGGCACTTGCCGCTTTGCCAGCCGATGACATGCAAACGCCCAGCCTCTGACGCTGGGGCCCACTGCACGTTCCCTCTTGCTCTGCATTTTCTCTATTTATATGGCAGAAACGCTCACCCCACAGACCTGCGCGTTTTGTAGCGCTGCCCCATTTAAGCCAGGGGCTGTAAGGAAAGAAACAAACGGAAAATACGGGTTCAGCGCTTGCTATGTGCTGCAGGCCACGAGAAACACCAAAATCGTAACACATGGTCCCTCGTCTCCCTCAAGGAGATTACAATATACTTGAGTAAATTAAAAACGAAATAAGAAAGTATTTGAACTGCAGTTCAGTACACGCGTAGCAGAAGGCTGTGAGGCAGGAAATGAATAACTGGAAAGTGATTGGAACAGGCTGCGATTGGCATTGAGAACTGCGTTTTGTTCTCCTCTCTGGTTGTGGGTCTGGTTTACCCGGTGGACTTATTCAAAGAGAGAGGCGGTGTTTGGGCAGAGGGCAAGGGAAAGTCTTGATATTCACATTCTGAAAGGAATCAAGATGTGTCTTATACCCAGGCTGACCCTGTTACAGGCACAGAAGCCTGGCTGTCGCTGAGACAACACCAAAAGGAAGATGTGCTGGGAATGTGACAGAACATGGGGAAAAGACCCATTTTTGTGTCCCCACAGACTCCAAAGTGTGGGAAGTCGGCGGCACACAGTATTTTTGAGGGGATGGCCTCAGAGTTTTTTGAGAAGATGAACCCATACTGTAACTCTTGGACAAGATGGTGGTGGCGTTGAGTGGATAATGAGATAACATGACAGTGTCTCCCGTGACGTTTGCAGCTCTGTGGAAGCACCGGGGGCTGCTGGGAGGAGAGGACTGGAAATCAGGATAGCCCTTCCCATCACTTGGCCTGCACCACTGAGTAACCAGCACCCTTCCTTGCGAAGAACTTCTAAAGAGGCATATTTCCTATTTTCTCCTTCCATGAATACATACGCGGTTTAAATCCTGATTACAAAAGTTATACATGCGTATATGGTTGTGGGACAATGGAAAACCCAAGGCCCATGTGCCCTTTCATGCTGCAAACGCAGAACTCAGGATTACATGCAATTGCACATACGCACATTCACACCCTCCCACACTCCCACAGTGCACAAAGTGAAAAAGAAAGGGAATTCTTTAGGCGCCAGAAACAGAGGGGACTCAGATGTTCCCATGGCACTTTTCAGCTGAGGTGCGGCATCTAAGGGGGGACGGCCTTTAACATCCACTTGGGGCCCTGGATCGTGCAAGGGAGTAGAAAATGATACCACTGCATGAGGCTGAGACCTCCAGCGAGTCAACGCATCTGTGGAAAGGAGATTAGAAAAAAACTGTCCATCAAAGCGAATAAAGTACAAGAAGGCTTGCCATCTGTTTGAAGCTCTGAGAAATTAACACCAAAATGAGTATGGAGGTCTAAATGTACGCTACTGAAATGGTGTGGTAATTACAGTAAACAAATTTCATACGAAAGCTGGTGCATTGCAAGTCCCTGGAACTGTGATGGAAGCAAACCCAGAATCTCACAGCGGGGGCACTCCTATAGCCCAGGATGCTTGGGAGCCCTCTGGGTGTAGGGGGAGAACCAGTCTGCTGAAGATTAGCTCATAATCAAAAGTTACTAATTTCACAGGGAAGTAAGCCACCACGAGATGCAGCACACACAACCAATAAGATGGGAACCCCAAGAACCAAGGAAGCGGGGAGGAGACAGGGCAGAGAACAACCCAAAGACTGTAGGGTTGAATTATTAAATATAAAAGTTTTAAAAATAACAGAGGAGTAGGACATTACGATCAAAAGAACTGGCAGATGTACCACAGTTTTCTAATCCATTCATCTGTCGATGGGCACTTAGGCTGTTTCCAAATCTTAGCTATGGTGAATTGTGTTGGGGGGGGGTGGTAAGAGATCAACCGAAGGACTTGTATGCATGCATAAAAGCATAACCAATGGACACAAGACACTGGGGGGTAGGGGAGGCTGGGGGAAGTTCAAGGGGGGAAAGGAGACAAATGTACTACTCTTTGTAATACTTTAAGCAATAAAACAAAATTTAAAAAAAAAACTGGCAGAAGTTTAAAAAAAGGCAGATGAATGTCACAATTAAAATAGATGAAAATGAAAACAGAAAGCTAAGTATTACTAATGAAGAAATAAATGAACTGGAAAGTGTGCAAATCATCTAACGGCAGGACAGAGAGATAAAGGAATGGGAAATATTAAAACAAAGTTAATAACCTAGAGGATAGGATGAGAGGGTCCAGAATAGTTTAAACAAAATTTTCAGAAGCAAAAAAAGCCAGGATTATCATGTGTCATTAGAGAATTGTGTTACCACTCACTGCACACCTTATTAGAATGGCTAAAATCCAAAACGTGGAGAACATTAATCAATGTGGGTGAGGATGCGGAGCAACCCCCTTCACTGCTGGTGGGAATGCATGATGCCATGGCCACTTCGGAAGGCAGCTTGGCGGTTTCCTACAAAGCTAGACATACTAGTAGTCTCACCGTGCAATCTAGCCATATGCTCCTAGGTATTTACCCAAATGCATTGAAAACTTGCATCCACAGACAAAACCTGCACATGAATGTTTGTAGCAGCTGTATTCATAACTGGTTAAACCAGGGAGCAGCCAAGATGTCCATCAGCAGGTGAATGGACAAACAGACTATACATGTATGCGATGGAATATTATCCCGCAATAAAAAGAAGCAAGCTATCAAGTCATTGAAACACACAAAAGAACCTAAGTACATTCTGTTCAGTGAAAGAAGCTTGTCTGAAAAAGCTACATGCTACATGGCTCCATCCATATGATGTTCTGGAAAAGACAAAACTAGAGAGGCAGTTAAAAGACCAGTGATTGCCAGGGGTTGAGATGGGGGGAGGGAGAGATGAATAGTTGGAGCATGGGACTTCTAGGGCAGTGAAAATACGCTATGATACTGCAATGGTGGGTGCTTAGCATTAAGTACTCAGCAATACCCACAGACCTACAGAGCAAAGAGTGAACCGCAATGTAAACTGTGGACTTTAGTTAATAGTAATGTATCAAGATTGGTTCATAAATTGTAAAAAAGAAAATGCCACTATCAATGACAGAAGTTAATAGGGGAAAGTGAGAGAAATGGGGGCTAGGAGTATGTGGAAACTCTCTGTATTTTCTACTCTAAAAATGAAAGTCTATTAATTTTTTTTAAAAAAGATAGGATGGCGAGAGTTAATACGCCAAGCAGCAATGGGTGAGATGTTTCCAGAATTAAAGTTATGAGTCACCAGGTTGAAAAGCAGAGCAAATAAAACAAACCCACACCCAGATTCCACACCACAGACAAAATGAAATTCTCAAAAGCGAGTAGAGAGAAAATAGAAATTACATAGCAAGTAATTACGGGCCGACTTCTAATAACAGCTGCAGTCTAGATCAGAGGAAAACTCATAACATCTTCAAAAGGTCAAGAAACAATAACTGCCGACTTAGCTTTCTGCGTCCCATCAAATCAGTCAAGAGCTAGAACAAACCACCAGCAATACACACTGATTCCCCGAAACATAAGGGAACAGTAGAGCAGTATGAAAACAGTCATTTTATTAAGTTCTTTGAGAGGGATCCAGTAATCAGGTGGACTATTTCCTTTGTTTTGCTCTGCATGTCTTTTGTATCTTAGAGATCACACACACACACACACACACACACACACGCACACACACGCACGCACACACTTCTAGCTTCCATTTAGCATTATGTGCAGACTCCTTGATTTTCACTGCCCTTGAAGGGTAGTGTGTAAAGGCTGAATCCTAGTCTAAGTGCCATAGTTGAGTGAATTGCTAGACAGTTAGTATGATTGCTAGGCATTCAGATCAGAAAATTTCCTCCTAAATGGCAACTGGATAAAATGCACATAAGAGAGAGACAAAATAATGCTAAGCATGCCCATTACCTTATTTCTTTGAAAACCCAAAATAATGCTAAGCATGCCCATTACCTTATTTCTTTAAGTGCTTACTGGAGCGGGAGGTGTTTAATTTGCAAGGGGCCATTCAGAGCCGGTTGGGGTGCTTCCTTTCAATCAATGCTTTGAGGCCTAAGTGCATTGTTTGTGGGTGACCATTTGGAACAATCCTGGATGTTCTTTTAAAGGAAGAGGGAAGAAGAAACTAATATATTTGAGGACGATGGTGTGCCAGGCACTGCACTGGGCATTTTCTTCACAACAGTACCGCGAAGCCTGCAATTTCTGAGTTCCTGTGATTCAGGCACTACGTTTTGTAACTTTACATATGTGAGTTTGATCCTCACCACAAATGTGGGAAATAGGCAGTGTTATTATACCCATTTCACAGGCAGGATAACTGTAGCTCCGAAGTCACAGCTAGTGAGTGATGAAGTCATAACTGGACTGCAGGTCTTTCCACTGTAGCTGGCTGCCAGTTTAGCCCATGTCCTGCTCCAGGATCGGGTGTGTTTGAGGTTGAGATAGAGAAAAATAGGATGGGCGGAACATAATGATAATGACATGAACAAACAAAAAAACATACAAAAAGGCAAAAAAGGGACTATGCCAAACTATACATTATCTCATTTCATCTTCCTACAACAGACAGTAAGAAGGTATTATTATCATCACCTTCACTGAACAAGTGAGTGATGCAGACCAGGAAAGCTCAGTAATTTGCCTTCAGGTTACACAGCCACAGGTCATGGATGTGTATCCCAAACCCAAAGATGCTTGCCCAAGAGTGCATGCCCGCTTCTCACTGCCTGTGGGTCGTATCTTCCGTGCAGGTGAGATGGAGGAGCTGGAGACGCTGTGGCTCACAGGGATCTGCCACCACGAGAAGAACGAGGTGATGAGCAGTCAGCTGGACATTGACAACATGGCAGGCGTGTTCTACATGCTGGCGGCCGCCATGGCCCTCAGCCTCATCACCTTCATCTGGGAGCACCTCTTCTACTGGAAGCTGCGCTTCTGTTTCACGGGCATTTGCTCTGACCGGCCGGGGCTGCTCTTCTCCATCAGCAGGGTCAGTACCCCTGGCGGCCACTTCCTTTTGCAATAGCAGGTCCAGGGAAGCATCGGGTGTCCAGAGAATCAGGGGGTCTTGACTTTTTGCAGGAAAGGGTCTGAACCTTGGGCGTTTATAAGCCACGGTTTGCAAACCCAGATGACTATAGAAGCCAGAAAAGAAGGGCGAATGGGTGAAGCAGGCTAGGCATGAGAAAGGCAGCACCAATGATGTGAAAAATAGCTTCTGAAATTGGGTGTCTGGGTGAGGGAACAATGGAGGATCCCAGGACCTGTGACAAGCTGTGTATAATGCTCACCATGCCTGAAGGGGGCAGTCCTCCTCAGTGGAGGACGGGAATGCGGAGCTAATATTATCAGGTCTTATCTGTAAAAGAGAAAGTAGTGGTCTGATTTTGTGTGAAACCTTTCTATGTTAAATATTAGTAACTAATTCCATTAAAACACACACATAAAACATGTGGGCCAAACAAAGCAGTCTGTGGCCTCCATCATAGCACCCAGGCATGCTCTGCCGCACTACTAACATCCCTAGGCAGGATGCGACAGTGTGTGCATGCATTCCAACAGAACGTGCAGGACAAAACGTAATCTGCACACACAGCCACGCTCTGTGTACACACCCCAACAAAACACGGAAAGCATGGTGTCTGCAATGAAACCAGACGTGAAGACCCATGAGAAAATGCACACACATCAAACAAGACAAAATACACATTCAACCCAACATAAACTACAGCACAGAGTACAAAGGCTATGGGAGTTCCCATGCAATACAAGAAAATCTCCTTTTATTGCATAACATGCCATGTGGGTGTTGCCATAAAAAGCACATGTGACATAATTCACCAGTAATGATAACCAGCATGGAAAATGCTTATATTTGTGGAGCACATATATGTTCCAGGCACCTTATAAGAACTTTATACTCTCTATCTCATGTAACCTACAAACCAACTCTATGAGGTAGGTTCGGTAATTAGCTCCAGATTACAGATGGGGGAACTCAGAGTTATGAGGTGAGGGGAATTATCCAAGGACACACAGTTGTGGTGGAGCCATGGTTTGAATCTAAATAGTGTACCATCCAGAGCCCACACTCTTACACAAGCAACAAATACCAAATGCAAGCAACACAAGAGATTTGATACAAATCATACTACATAATATATATGTGCATGCAACTCACATAATGTGTTTACATATTCAACACAATCTAGTCATTTACTTACATCATAATAAAAGCATATACATACATATTGTTTATTCATCCTCTAACATAGTAGAACATTATCTGTCTAGTAGAGGCCCGATACACAAAATTCATGCAAGGGGCTCGGCCCTCACAGCCTCAGTGGCTTGCCTCAGCCCTCGCAGCCCTGGCTTCGTCCGGAAGGTCATCCAGAAGGATGTACAGAAGGTCGTTCGGCTGTCTGGTCTAATTAGCATACTATGCTTTTATTATTATAGATTTTGTATCAATCATCTGTCTGTCCATCTCTTTCTCCACCCATTCGTTCATCCATCCATCCATCCATCCATCTATCCATTCATCCATCTATTCATTCATCCGTCTGTTCATTCATCTGTCTGTTCATCCATTCATCCACCCATCTATCCATCCATCCCATTCAATCTATTTATCTCCCTATTTCTCCCATTTACTCTCCTCGGAATTTTTTTTCACATGTGTTTAATGAATTTGGATTTGAAACATGGTGAAAAATATTTCTTAAAAACATCTAATTTTATATGCTAAGCTTTATTGAGGAAACTAAATCATTGTTTAAAAAGGAATTTTTGTATCCTTAGCATTTAGTGATTTTAAAAACCTTGGAGATTCAGAAGGTACACATTAGCTTAGTGAGGAGGATTTATTTTCTCCATTCAATGGCACTGTAAACTTGAGTTTGGTGCAAATACATATTTCTTAATTAGCTTGATGGCATCTAAACACACAGATTGCTTAAAAATAACAGTGTGTGTGCATATAGCTAGGTATGCCAACTTTAAGCTAATTCTCTCTGCCAATTACTAAAAGCTTTCCATATCCAAAGATTCTGGGATTATTATGGGCAAATGCATACTGTTGCATTTACTTATAAATCCTGCTTGTGTTTGGAAGAGCATTTCCTCTGTCTGAGATACCATTAAGGAAGCCAAGTTGATAGGATCATTATTATAAGAAATGAACTAAATCCCTCACTCCTGTTCCAAGCATCTTGAAGAATGGGAGTGTTGGGGGGGTAGGGGGGGCGGGGAGAAGAGACTGAGCCCACAGGAGCAGCTGTTGTTGTGTTGTGCATTGACTGACGGGCTGGAAGAGCTGGAATTTGAATATCAGCCTCCCTTCCCTAAGCCAGAGTGGACCCCTCATCCCATAGGAGCACTGAAGGGACTTGTGTGCCCCCTTGAAACACCCAGCCATCCTCACTTGTGCCTCCAACAGTTGCAGGGAGCCCTACAGCAGCAACTGCCCTCCCTCCTTCTCCCCAGATGAGATTTGTCTTTTAAAATAAGCACAGCCTGGTACGTGTGAATAAAAAGATCTCATCCTTAATGTACTTTTCTCATTCCGAGTTTACCTAATAAATCTCTCTCTCATTTATTAGGGGAACTCAGAATGGGCTTAGCCCCAGATGCTGCGCCTAGAAGGGCTTCTGGGTTGCTAAAAAGTGCTCTTCCTTTTCTGGTCAAGGGCCAGCACACATTTCTTAAACTGGTCTGATGTGCATATTCACACACATGCCACCTTACATATATGCTTGCATACAGTGCAGAGAACACACACCGAAGCAAAAGTGTCTTCAGTGTGTACACACCATCATTTTCTGTGAAATAAAACCTGCAGTGGGGAATTCCCAAGCAAAGAACCTACTTTCCTACAAATAGAAGATCTCGTGTGTAAATGAGAGCCTGGGCCATTGTCTCTAATCCTCGCCATATCCTATGAGGTTGAGTTGATCACACCCATCCTATGATGGAGAAACTGAGTCCCAACAGGTTAGAATGGGACCCTCCTGTTCACTTACGTTTTCTTGAAACAGCAGAGGTCTTCTCACTTCATCTCTCATGCCAGAAAAATAGCATGAGAGAGGAATCTTTGTCTGTGTGTGTAGGGTTGGGTCTCCTGTTTTTGTCAGTGTCAGACACCTTTTCATCTGAAATTCACTTCTACCCCAAGGCAGAGTTTCTGCACACAAGCCAGGTCTCTCCATCACCATTTCTCTTTTTAGCATATTGATCAGCCAGACAATAGACATAAAGTTATTGCGACACACAGACACACACATGCAACCCTCCTTGTGGGCTTGTCCCTTGGGAAGCTCCTGGATAATTTGAACCAATACAAACCTGAGATACGTGCACGTGTGGAGCTGCCCAGGGAGAAGGCCAGAGCTCAAAGAAACCACTTATTTAACATCAGAACCAAGCTTCTCCCACAGCTGTGGCCTTTGTCTCCAACAACTTCCCAAACTGTGCCCTCTTGTCTGCAGGATGCCCTTAACGTTTGTTTTCTCCCTGAAGTGCTTTCCCAATCATGTAGAAAAAAATATTCACTGTCACCAGCACAAAGAACTGCCTCAGTTGTCTCCTGAGATGTAAGGAATGGGGGACACAGCAAAGCCAAGGACCCGGGAGAAGGAACCCAGGCACCTTCCCGATGAGCTTGGATGGGGCAGCTGGAAATAGTGAAAAAGGCTTCTGGCTCGTCCACACCTGGGATGAGCCCCCTGTGGGTTCAAGAGGGCACCCTATTTCCACAACCCATGAAATGCAGCCAGGATTATGAATAACAGAGAGGAGAACAGAAAGAGAGAACTCTGCAGGAAGGAAAGAAACACAACCCAGGGATTTGGCTCCCGAGGAGGGGCTTGGCTGCTCACCTAAGCAGGAAGCCACAGTGGCTTTGGAGAACAACCTTTGGTAGGAAAGGGTAGCAGGCCTTTCTTTGGCGCTCCCACAAAATGGGCGGTGCATGTTCATGCTGGTGTGAAAGGGGAGGTGCAGTGACACAGGAAGGACAGATCAGGGGGAACAGAGCAGCTCAAAAATTTATAATGAGGAGAGAGAAGCTCCTGGCAGGTGAACAACCAGCCACACAGGACATGGAGAAGGAGACTAAAGACAAGGCTGGAGGAAGGTGGGGAAAGGGAGCGATGCCAGGGCCACGCAGCCCAGGATTGAGTGTCAGAGAAAGAGATGCTCAAATGCACAACCGCAGGTAGGCTTTTCTGTTGACCTCTCTTAGAGGGCTGGAGAGGAGACTGTCTCCAGAAAACTACAAGAAAAATACAGCAGGCTCGAGGCTGTCACAGTTCCTTGAGCATCTCTGTGGGTGAAACTCGTCCCCACCATGGGGAACTGATGGAGCCACTATTATCACAGTCCACAGTTAATCACATATACTTTGCACAAGTTCATGCCAAAGTCAGCAGCAGCTGCCGCGTTCGCTTTTACAAACCTCTTCTCAGGCTGGCTCCTCATCAGTCTTGGGAGGACCAGGTCAAATCCTGTAGGCTTGATATGATTGTTCCTTTTAGGTCTGGCTGCCAAAACTTTGGGAGCAGGAGTGGGGCAGGGGGGACCGCAAAACACAATCACCAATGCCCTCTTGCACATGAACCGAATTCTTCCCTGGAGTTACTATTAAGTAGAAGTAAACAGCTATTTTTAAGAATGGAAGAAAGTGTAGTGGAAAACAGACATATAGATGGACGTGCCTATATTTGAGCTCCCCAGGAGTCCATAAGTCACTCAGTCCCTACATGGATTTAAATGCAGCACACTGTGTCCTCAGGACTCTCCACTGTCCCTCACAGCTAAAACCCGACTCTATGTTGAGCAAATTCACACACAAACAAACACACAAGACTATATCGAGTGAAGTAAGAGAAAAGTTTGAGAGAGTGGCCCCAAAGGTTTGACCTATGTCATGTCTTTCTATCCCCTGGGTTCTACTTTTTTCTATGGTGGCTTCACTCTCAGGATAATGGCAGGACTAGTCCCCTGCAACTGCTACTTGTATCCTAGCATCTATGTCTATTCCTTAAAAATTTTTAAAAAATCTGATTCATCACACATACTAATAGATTCCATGCCTATACTGAATCAGAAAAGATTTTCTGACTGACATACTTGGGTCTCATGAATTGATTGATAGCTTCAGTGTGTGGGTAGGGGTAATTCCCCAAAAGAATTAATAATAGGTTGTCCTTTAATGCCAACTTAGTTTGTTTGCCAATAGCCGATTCTCTGGTATCCAAACTCCAAAGATGATTCTGAGAAATTTTAATAAAAAACATGAGTTGATGACCTGGGTGTTGACAAGGTTGATTAAATACATGTCAATTTGGAGGCACTGAGACCCTCATAGTTATATGAACATTCATTGATGCCTTTTCTCAAGCTTCATGTATGACTGTTTGCAAAAGTGTTTAATAACCTTGAGCCAGAGAGAAAAGATAAGCCTGATATTTGCCACTGGTCTCATCCATTTAAGAAACATTACCAGGCTTCGTATTGGATTTTGCTATTTCTCCAGGGCTCCTACAAGAAGGCCATATCTCCCCTTTGCAGATAGAGTTCAGGTGTGGAGTGGTTTCCTTTTCTTGCTGCTGCTGATGGTGTGTTATGTCACTTCCCACAGGGCATTTACAGCTGCATTCACGGGGTGCACATTGAAGAAAAAAAGAAGTCTCCAGACTTCAACCTGACCGGCTCACAGAGCAACATGTTAAAATTCCTTCGGTCAGCCAAAAACATGTCCAACATGAACTCCTCAAGAATGGATTCTCCCAAAAGAGCTGCCGACCTTATCCAAAGAGGTTCCCTGATCATGGACATGGTTTCAGACAAGGGAAACTTGATATATTCAGACAACAGGTCCTTTCAGGGGAAAGACAGCATTTTTGGGGACAACATGAATGAACTCCAAACATTTGTGGCCAACAGGCACAAGGACAACCTCAATAACTACGTGTTCCAGGGTCAGCACCCTCTGACTCTCAACGAATCTAACCCTAACACGGTGGAGGTGGCCGTGAGCACAGAATCCAAAGGGAACTCCAGGCCCCGGCAGCTTTGGAAGAAATCCATGGACTCTCTACGCCAAGATTCAATGACCCAGAACCCAGTCTCCCAGAGGGAGGAGGGAACATTGGAGAATAGGACCCACTCCCTAAAGAGTCCCAGGTACCTTCCAGAAGAGGTGGCCCACTCAGACATTTCAGAAACTTCGAGTCGGGCCACGTGCCACAGGGAACCTGACAACAATAAGAGCCACAAGACCAAGGACAACTTCAAAAGGTCAATGGCCTCCAAGTATCCCAAGGACTGCAGCGAGGTCGAGCGCTCATACTTGAAAACCAAAGCGAGCTCCCCCAGGGACAAGATCTACACCATTGATGGTGAGAAAGAGCCCAGTTTCCACCTAGATCCCCCCCAGTTTGTTGAAAACATGGCCCTCCCCGAGAACATGGACTTCCCAGATGCCTACCAGGACCACAGTGAGAACTTTCGCAAGGGGGACTCCACGCTACCCATGAACAGGAACCCTCTGCACAATGAAGATGGGCTTCCCAACAATGACCAGTATAAGCTCTACTCCAAGCACTTCACCTTGAAGGACAAGAGTTCCCCTCTCAGCGAGGGCAGCGACCGCTACAGGCAGAACTCCACACACTGCAGGAGCTGCCTTTCCAACCTGCCCACCTATTCAGGCCATTTCACCATGAGGTCGCCGTTCAAGTGTGATGCCTGCCTACGGATGGGGAACCTCTATGACATTGATGAAGACCAGATGCTTCAGGAGACAGCGAATCCAGCCACCCAGGAGGAGGTCTACCAGCAGGACTGGGCACAGAACAACGCCCTCCAGTTCCAAAAGAACAAGCTAAGGATTAGCCGTCAGCATTCCTATGATAACATCCTCGACAAGCCTAGGGAGATAGACCTTAGCAGGCCCTCTCGGAGCATAAGCCTCAAGGACAGGGAACGGCTTCTGGAGGGAAATTTGTACGGGAGTCTTGTCAGTGTCCCATCCAGCAAACTCTTGGGGAACAAAAGCTCCCTCTTCCCCCAGGGTCTGGAGGACAGCAAGCGGAGCAAGTCTCTCTTGCCAGACCACACCTCCAATAACCCTTTCCTCCACTCCTATGGGGATGACCAACGCTTAGTCATTGGGAGATGCCCCTCGGACTCCTACAAACACTCGTTGCCATCCCAGACAATGAATGACAGCTATCTTCGATCCTCCTTGAGGTCAACGGCATCGTACTGTTCCAGGGACAGTAGAGGCCACAACGATGTGTATATTTCCGAGCATGTTATGCCTTATGCTGCAAATAAGAATAATACGTACTCTACCCCCAGGGTTTTGAATTCCTGCAGCAATAGACGTGTGTACAAGAAAATGCCTAGTATTGAATCTGATGTTTAAAACCTTCCATTAATGTTTTATCAATAGGGAAACATACGTAATGGCCAACTTTCTGGAGGGAAAATGTTGGATGTCCAATAGTGCCCTGCAAAGAGGAAGAGGATTTAGGAAGGTATTTTTTTTTGTTGGTTCTTTTGCACATGGCTCCATGCCATAGTCTTCCACTCAAGGAATCTTGTGAGGTGTGTGCTGAGAATGGCAGATACCAGATAGGTGAGTCCTTAACCAAAAATAATAAATCAAAGGGCAAGTCTCCTGGACATGCCCACTAGGTATGTTGGCAATAATGATGCCTTGGATGCCAGAGGTGATGTTGTGATTTCCTATATTCCAAATTCCATTAAGCCAGTCCACCATGCAATTTTCTCATCATAAACACCTAACGGTTTCTCTAATACAGAATAAGCAATATGGTATGCATGTAAATCCGACACAGACCAAATAAAACAGTTAAGAATGCATCTGCATTGTAGCGAGATTGACATGTGCAAGAGATTAGGAAGTTTGGCTTTGTAACCATTTCAGCTTTTTTGTCATGCCTCCCATCACAGTCCAGGCCCAACCCCAGAACTCCAGGCTCCCCCAAAGAATAGGAAGTCAGTGCGTTTCATGCTACCTATGCTACTACCTTCATTATAGTCCATTTCCAAGACACATCTGGAGTAAAAGGCCAGAAGGGCCCTCAGGCAGAGAGCTATAAGAATCTCTTTGGATGTCCATTTGTGTGTTTCACAGACGCGCTCTCATCCTTGGCTTCTGGTCTTGTTCAGGACTGCATAAATTAAGACAGTTATGTCTTCGATATCTAAGTGTGGATCTTCTGTCTATGACACAGCGGCCCTTATAGTTTATCCTGAGGACTCCTGTGTACGTAAGTTTGCATTTCCCCCCTTCTGGTGATGACTCAGGGTTGTATAGTATCTGTTATCCCTTTCCTTCCAGAGTAACCATAGCTCGTTCAGTCCCCAAACAGCCATGGTGGCTCTAATCAACTGTGTGTTGCTGTTTCCAGGGTTGTTAATGTGGTGGCAGGCACCAACAGCCATATGTGCGCTGTGATCTGTAAGAAGTACAATGCCATCTGTCTGCAGAAGGCTAGTGTGGTTTTCGGTTTATGTTTCTTACCGTCATGGAATTTAGTTGGACACTCATTTCCACCCCGGCCTCCTCAAATCAAAAGCCTTCAAAACATGAGAGACACTCATGCATCTACCCTGAGCATCCTCCAAATTGTGGGTAAACATCAGTGGGACAAGCGAGTTCTCTCTTCTGAAATATTCACCCTGTCGGAGGCTAACTGTTTCATTGGCACCAACAGAGACAGATGAAAAATTCCTCCAAGCATTTGTCATTTCTGAGTCCCCTCCAGTATCTCATTCTTAATCTACTCAAACCTGTGCATGCGTGATATGAAATGATACTCATCTAGCAGGATTGGAGGAGAAAGGGCAATCTTTATGCCTGGGAAGCTCTTAGCGCCATGCCTGGCACATGCACAGTGCCTACAGAAATAAATAAAGACAGTTGTTATGTTATGATACTTTATCAGACCAGAATTTTAATATTTAAAGATTAAATATTATAAAGACCACAAACAAGAGTAAACATTTTATACAGTTTTAATCCAATAATTAATGTATTTTAAATACATTAATATCCCTGAAATATTTGGGAGAACTAGCCATCGGGTTTTTTTCAGAGTAACTCAGTCTGTTTTGGCGACATGCTGCAGAAACCCTAAGCTAATGTAGACTAGCTTAACAATTGTTTCCTCCTGCATTTTGCTTTGGGTTCTTGGAAAAGGGAACAGAATGGCAGGTTGAAAAGTTATCCTATTTCCTTTCTTCATGGTATGTTCTGTTTTGTAGGTAGTGTTTTCCTGTGAGTGGGCAGGTGCCAGAAATAACTCTCCTGGAGCTTGAGAATTCACTGAATGGCTCCATCTTTGGGGATGTGTACCCTATTTACAATATTCCCAGAATGATGAGAGCTGGTTGCAATAAATTTCAGTCAGTGGTAGAGAGGCTGAGGAAGGCAATGGGTGAGAAGGTGTCCCATCAACCTAGCGGTAGAAAGGAAGGAAGGGCTGACTAGACATTGATGACAAATACACTTGAACACTGTATTTTATTCATGGATGTTGCACCTTTGCTGCCTCTAGACCAGCAGTGGGCAAACTACAGCCCGCGGGCCGGATCCGGCCCATTTGAAATGAATAAAACTAAAAAAAAAAAGACCGTACCCTTTTATGTAATGATGTTTACTTTGAATTTATATTAGTTCACACAAACACTCCATCCATGCTTTTGTTCCGGCCCTCCGGTCCAGTTTAAGAACCCATTGTGGCCATCGAGTCAAAAAGTTTGCCCACCCCTGCTCTAGACCCAACAATGGAGGAATGTATACTGAAGGACCTTGAATAGTCACCCCAATTTCTAATCTTAGGTATACCATTGATTGTCTTTTAGAACATTCTGCCTTTGCCCTTCCATTGCATTCCAGACCTGTCTTCCCCCAGCCAGGATTTCCCCACAAATTTGTCACGTCTTTGCATGACATGAATTAAAAAGTCTCCCCAGAATACAGAAAAGTGGTATGTCATCAATCCAAAGAGTATGTCTTCCTCCAGTGTCCTCAAAACGCATGGGGCTGCCACTGTGATAGAGATCTCTAGGGGGAGTGCAAATTACACGTGGAAGGATTCCCTGGCCCCCAAAGCCTCCTAATAACAGCATTATTTCTGCTATTAATCCCATGCTTCTCTGGATAAGAAACTAAAAGTGTGGCTTTTGGAAGAACCAACAGTACTGTAGTGTGCTGGAAAAAATATGCCTCCTTTTATACCCATAGTTTCTCTAAAAGACAATCAGAATTGGATAGTATATAATAAATACCTAATTTCCCTCCTCCACTAATGCACTGACTCTTAATTGGGATGATCCCAAACATAAGAAAATTGCCATGGATCAGATGGTCAATTTTTAAGTGACAGGCGATGTTGTGGAGCTATTCAGAGATAATCCACATCCAGTCATCCAGTCAGTTCTTTGGAAAAAGAATATCAGAATGATGCCTACAATATAGGAGGTGACAAGAATGAAATAGGAAGCCTTGAGCTTAGGCATTCATCCCCAAGGGTTCTGTGATCTTAGATTTTTTGATGCCAAGGAGCCAGAATCTCTGAATCCAATTTTGTGCCCGAGTTTCACCTGACTGCAGTCAGAGCTGGCATCGTAATGATGTTTCATTAGCTCTACATGATTTTCTCCACTTGAGAGGACCCAACTGGTACACCTGCACGCAAATGCTCCTGCTCCTGCCCACACGCAACCAACTTAAAATATTCTGTGAGAGTCTTCTAATCTAGGGCATGAGTTCTGCTCTGGAAAACGTGCACATCCGGAAAAGAGTGCTCCTTATCCTCACACACTGGGGTTGTTAGGTCACTTCCGGTTGCCATGCTCTGAGAAGGCAAGTTCCTGATTGGTCTGTTTTTCTGCCAGTGGGGCTTCAATGGAGGTGTGAGATGATAATCTCCCCACGCATTGCATCGCTCTTCCATCCTCTGCAAATCTCACTGCAGGATTTTAGCCAGCACCATGACCGAGTCTCATGGAGTATACTTGGTTTCCTCCTGAACCCTGTTGCAGAGGGTGCCTGAGAAGGTTTCATAGGTAGCTTTTCTGATGAAAGCATTAAAATTCCCCCATTGCAGCAAAATCAGTCAAATCAATTCACGCTTCTTTTCAAGGGAGAAAAAAAAAAGAAAATTACACCTTGTTTACACATGAAATAGCTTCACTTAAGTGGGACTCTAGCCAAGGCAGCTAATTAGTAAAAAGATCCACGGCCGCCATACAGTCGCACACTGTTTACTCTATTTGACATTTCTTACCGCTGATGTGTATTTAATATTCTGCATCCTCCTCAGGAAATGACAAATGCCCTGATTCTTTGCAAATAGAATTGCTAATGAAAAAGGAAAAAAAAAAGTTGGTGTTAATTAAATGGTGATTAAAAATTTATCTCCTTTAAACCTAAAAAGTGCAGCTGTAATAATCAGTTGTCATATAAATAAATACCTCACACTGAAATCCCTTGCAGTTTGAGACCTAAATAAATACTAATGGGAGAAACCTAAATATCGTTCAGAAGAGCTGAATGTATTTGTTAACTGGATGCACATCCCGTACTGTTTCTTTGTGCGTTGCTGTTGTGCATGAGGCCTTGGACGGGGGACATGAGCTGTCTCTGCGAGAGAGCCTGTTTGTATTACCCATGGCTATCGTAGACGTAATTGGACTTCAAGATAAAAACACAAAACAAAACTGAGCAGGTGGAATCTAAACTCATTGGTTGATATTTACTATGAGCTAGGGGTTCTCGATAAAGACAATTTCCATTCCAAAAGCAGTGTTTATTTTCACTTGAGACAAAATGAGACATTTCGGGATACTCCCCATCTTCTTTTGGTGAACAGGGTTGAAAGTGCTTAATGAGAGGTGAGGTGGGGCTTATACTTGAAAAGGTCTCCCAATATGCAGTTGCCCTGTACCCATTTTCTCCCTTTTCATTGTACTGTGTTCATACCTAATTGTACCAGATGAGGCCAGCTTGCCACTTGATAGAGATCGGAGATGATCAAATGCACTTATCTTGTGAATACAAATGCTTGTGTACACATGTATATACTATACATGCTTGATTTCTATAATTCACACGTAAGTGTATTATCCAAATAAAATTGTACATACTGTAAAGTTTATGTTAACAATTAAATGGTGGTGATGGTATTAACACATGGAAAACCCATTCTGGTTATTGATGGGATCATGTTTATGTAGACAGGGCACTATTTTTTTAAAAAAATCTCAGTTCTAGGGAGGGTGGCAGAGCCAAGTGGGATTTGGATGCTGGTGTTCTTGACCCTTTCTTTAAAAATGTATCTGGAGTTAGGGGCATGGAGTATATTCTGCTCACATTTGCTTCTGAAGACAATGCTGATAAAGACATGAATGTGATTTCTGTAAAGTCATCAGAGGGCATTTTTTTTCTGTTGAATTCCTTATTCTCTTCCCCCACCTGAACTCTTTCTGTGGCCAGAAGTACTCTCAGAAGAGTATCAGCTAAAGGTGCCTGCCCAGAAGGGCCTTAGACAAACATAACTGAAAGAAGTCACCAAGATTTGAGGCAAGGGGATGGGAGGTGAGAAAACTAAGAGGAAATGAAGTTCCCAAGGAGACAGTAATCTATAGGATTGTCAAGTTGACAGTATCGGAGCCAGGTCTAGGACCCAAGGCTTCATGGCCCAGTTCCCAGCTTGGTCCTCTTGACCAGCTGACTCATTTCTAGGTTTCTCTTGAGGGCTCTCCGGAGTACCCATGGGATAAGAGCCAGAGAACCTTATAGAACTGACCCATCTTTCTTTGCCTCTTGCCTTATGCAGACCCAAACATCCCTCTTTGAATTTTAGTTTTCCTTCAAGCTCCCCAGCACTCCCTGCCTCAGAGTCCTGGAAAAGAGAGTATCTTGTTTCAGGCACTTATTCCCTGGGAAGAGTCAATGAAGGATATAGTTTAAAACCTCAAACCAAAGATGAGAGCTGGCGTGATCGCTGAGATGATAGAGTTCTCTTTCTCGTGAGCCAAGGATGAGCAAAGGACACTGATCAGCTGATAGCACTGGACTGACACTGATCAGCTGATAGCACTTGACTGAGCGTCTAATCTCTCTTTAAGGCCAATTTGGGATGGAGGAGCCGCAAAGGAAATAGAAAATAGTCTTTTCTCATAGTAGCTTATGGTCTAGAAATTCAGTTTCTTAATACAAAAGATAACCAAGGACCCATGAAATGCAAACACAGAGTAGATGTAGAAACTAGAAATGATAAATAAAATTCTTTCCAGGAAATCAAAATGTATCTGATTTCATGATCAAACAAACAATAAAGCCCTCCCCTAGATCTGTAAGTAACTTTGGAGGATACAGTTTGTGCTCCTGGGGATGCCTTGATTACTTTAATCTTCAAAGATGGAAACCTAAGGGCATCTAACCAGGTGAATAAACTTGCCCTTCCACATTTTGCACAGACAGGCTTGCATCTGATTCCACTCGGCGCTCCAGCCCTTGCCAAATCATGCCTCCTTCCAGCTCTGCTTTCTGTCATGTGCTTCAAGGAAAGGTTGAAAAAAAAATCTCAAAGGATTAAAAAATAGATCATGATGTAAAAAAGACTATTTCCTGAAAGCTTTCTTCTCTGGTTTTGTTTTTGACTTGTGAAAAATATTTTTGATAGTTCAGGGTATAAATGTATCAGGGAAGGGAGTAGGGAGAATTCCTTGTTGAGTCCCAAGTGCCTACTGTTTTGGCTGGTGGAAGAGAACACACCAGGTGCCCTCGAGAGAAAATGGGGCAAGGAAATTTCAGGAAGATGGTGGGTGGATATGGAGCTTATTTTTTTTCTCTGTCCATCCTATTCTTGCATTACTGGAATGTTAGCTTCTTTGCTTACCCCAAGTACATGCCTTGAGTCAGAAGTTGAATTTGAAAATGTTAAAATATATCTATGTTGAGTACAGACAATATTCCAGGCATATCCTAGGATGTGATTCTCAAAATAACCTTAGGGTGAAGTCTGGTTGCTCCCATTTTACAGATAAGGAAATCAAGGCTCAGGGCAATCTCAGCCTCATCAGTAACAAAAGCTTGCTAATAAATCCCTAATGTCCGGCATATTCTCGAAGTGCCTGATCTCCTCCAGAGAGGTCAGAATGGAAGTCAGAAAGAGAGATATGCTGTTCAGAGGTCCCCACAGCTCTCTCTTGAGTTTCAGCCTCTGTGGTGAGGAAGTTAGTGCCCACCCCTCATCACCTGGTTTGGAGTGCATTGAGAACTCCTGGGGATCTCAGTTCTGTTCTCGGTCCCTTCTGAGACTTGAATGCCATTTGTGTCTCTCCCTTGTATGCTTGTGCTTAGCATTTGCTTTTCTGGTTCCTGGAGACTTATTTTCTCTACTTAGCATGTGCCTAAACTTAAATATCCCCTTCCTTTTTTTTTCTCAATAGACATCAGGGCTAATTGCATTTAACATATGCAAATAGTATGCTTTCACGTGTGTGGACACACACACATATGCACGTGCACACACACACGCTGC